CGTAATTTAACGGTGAGTGATGTCATTAAAAAACGTGTATATGCTTGTGTTTTCCACCAGATCGTTAGGCTCCACCGCTTCATAAAAATACGGCACCGTGTTTTCGGAAGCGGCCGCTCTGTACGGTACGACATTGCCAGTACGTTTTTCTTCAGTGCGTCGTGGAGATTCTGGTGTATGAATGTGATATGTGAATAAAATTTGAAAATGGGCGAACAAATTAATTGGTCTAGTGAACAGGACGAAATATTAATTGACTTTGTTAGATCTCATGAAGCTCTATACAATGTAAAGTCTGCGGAGTATAGGAAGATGCAACTTAAACAAAGTTTATGGCATGAAATTAGTGCAATACTGCTTAGAACAGATGGGTATTATTTATTACTTCAGCATCCATAACTCTTTTTTATATGTTCTTAAACTATTAATTAAGTATGTATTATTGAACTTGCAAATAATGCAAAGAAAATAAGTTATACAGGGTGTTAGAATATATAGTATGTAAGTAAATGAAAAGTATAGGTATATTATTTATTAGGCATATAACACTAAACTAAACAACAATATATTTCAATGTTCCCTGCAGTAGATAACGATTTTGCCATTCAATAGCACCAGGGGTGGGACTTTGTAATTAAAAGCGAAATGATTGCGATCGTTATTGTGCGCTTTTTGAAAACGGAACTCTGTAAAGTTACTCGGTTCATATCGGTAGCATCGAATGCCATTCCGAAGCAACAGCGAAAGCGAAGATTTCTAAGGTATCGTAATCAAGAAATAAGCAAAATAAAGTAAGTTATATTAGTGTATAAGTGACATCATACTATTTTTTATCATAATATTAAGTTTCATTTATATAACTAAGATGCTACGTAGAATATTATGCTTATTTAACAAAAAGATAGAACCTGTATAAAAACAGCTGTAAGAAAATCTAGTAGCCAGATCGCAGTAAACTCGTAATTGACAAAGTGTGTATTTTACTGTGTCCGCACCCAACGTATAACTGGCGCAGTCGAAGAGGATCGTTGGTCAACTGGCAGAGTGTTTGTCCAAAAAGAAGTACAGTGCCTGTTCAGCAAAGTATTCACAGCAGCAGACCTCCAGCCACCACGAAAAGAACGAGCACAGTAAGTACTCATTTCCTGCATTATCCTGTTTCTCAATCTCACATGCCCGATTGGCATACCCCGGTCTGATTGACTATTAGTATCAAAAAAATAAAACAAAAAACGATCTGATAGATCATTAGTGTTAGAAACCGATCTGATTGATCACTAGGTTAAGACAAAGCTTTCAAAAGTTGTTTGAAGATACAATTCAAGTTCTTTTGGAACAAACAAACAAACAAACAGAGAAGCAAACCAATCATTTCATTCTTCATCAATTCACTCCAATTCACTCAATTCAGTTAAGTTAATTTTAAATCTAGTCAAATAAAAACTTTTCCAAATTTAAATTCAAAATTCATGTCTCTAAACAGACAACAACTACAAGATTTGAATAGAAATTTATCTGATATACCAGAGGTTCCAGAAATAACAAATACAATGACAGAAAGAAGAACTTTAGATACCCAGCTATTAAAATTATACATTGATACCATTCCATTGTTTGACGGAAACAATTTAGTTTTACATTCTTATATAGAGTCAGTGAGAAGCACATTTTTGAATTTTCCGGATGATACTCAACACGTAACACATAATTTAATTTTACAAGCAGTTAAAAACAAACTACGCGGTAGAGCACAAAATTTAGTTGCAAGTCGAAATGATTTAACTACATGGATCCAAATTGAACAATTACTTAAATTAACTTTTGGAGATAAACGAGACTTACAATATTTAACACACCAACTGACATCAATGAGACCCAACAAAAATGAAAGACCATATAATTTCGGACTTAAGACTACAAGAACTTAGAGCAGTTATTATTTCAAAAATCAATGATAATTTCGCTGATGAACAAATTCGTGATTTACAAATTAACAATTACAACGGTATTGTCAAAACTATGTTTATAACAAATTTGCCAATAGATGTTCAAACCATAGTCAGATTTAAAAATCCAGATACACTAGAAGCTTTGAGTTATGTTTTAGAAGAAGAAGAATTTCAAAATTTTGCCAAATTACATCAAACAACTAATAGAATAAGTCAACCAAATTTTAAACCGACAATGTCTCAAAATAATAATCCACCACCACGTAGAAATTTTATTCCAAATTTAAATCAAAATATCACTCCACGAAACACAAACAATTTTCCAACTACTTCACAGTTTCCATCACAACCTATTAATATCCAACCTAAACAAGTAAATCAAAAATTCTCCACTAACAAACAAACTTTTGGACCACCAAATCGCACACAAAACGTTTGGAAACCAAATGCAAATTTAAATCAAAATTTTGGAAAACCGACTCAAATGTCTGGAATATCCCATAACAGTCAATTTAAACCACAACCTATGTCTGGCATTAGTTATATACACAACACGGAAGCTACTGAACATATACCATCATATCACAATGAAGAATATCATAACCAACTGGAATACGATCAAGAAAGATACGAAGACATCACATACAACAACATGTACCAAGAAGATCAACAACAAGAAGAAATATACGAGGAAGATCAAAACAATGAAAATTTTCCCAGCGTCGAGCCGACACAATCCCCGACGTAAACGCTATAAATGCATTACCTTATATTAAAATTGACTAAAAAACAAAATTTACAAATTCCTTATTGACACCGGCTGTTCATTTTCCATAATTCGCCCAACAATAATCCAAATGAACTACCCCGACAAAATTTATTTAGACCCTACTACTTTACAGACATGTGCAGGTAAAACAAAGGCCCTGTATAAAGCAACGATACCAGCATTTCGAGAATTTCAATCCGACTTTCCAATACATTGCGTTTTACACGACTTTCATGATTATTTTGACGGACTTATAGGACTTGATGATTTAACCAACGCAAGACTAAACATTAATTTATCTGAACAAATACTTGAAAACGATAGAGTTCAAATTCCAATGTACACTCGCGAAGACTTTTACACATGCAGTCAGAGGCGCAACAACCGGGGGTGCCCTGGGTGCCCGGGCACCCAGTGTCCTACAAGTAGTGTATAAATGACAGAGCTGTGCAGAGCATGAGGAATGAGGAGACCTTGACCCCAGACGACCGAAGGTCGTTGACCGTGGGGTCAAGGTCTCCTCATTCTTCATGCTCTGCACAGCTCTGTCATAGGCAGAAAGATCATTGACCTTTAGACTCTGTAACAGAACTCTCATAGCCAAGCAATAAATAATTTAAATTGCCGGCACCGGTGTTGTAAAGCACCTGCCTNACATGAATTCGAAATTTTTAATTGTGAAATTACTTACTCTAACCAACCTAACTCTCGCATTGATATAAAAGAAATTATTAGGACAAATCATATGAATGACGAAGAAAAAGAAAACATTATCAATTTATGTTTAGAATATTCAGACATTTTTCAAAATCCAACAGATCAACTACAAAGACTAAAGACGAAAATCCCTGCCATACAAAAACATATCGTTATCCCCACATCTATAAAGAAGAAGTTCAAAATCAACTATCAAAAATGCTAAATGACGGAATAATTCGACCAAGTATTTCCCCATGGAGTTCACCTATTTGGGTTGTACCAAAAAAATTAGACGCTTCAGGCAAAAGAAAATGGCGTATTGTCGTAGACTACCGAAAATTGAATGACAAGACAGTAACTGACAGATATCCTATCCCAAATGTCACCGACATACTCGATAAATTAGGCAGAAGTTGTTATTTCACCACTTTAGATCTCGCCTCCGGCTTTCACCAAATTGAAATGGCACCAGAATCAGTTCAAAAAACAGCTTTTAATACGGAACACGGACATTACGAATTTTTAAGAATGCCCTTTGGACTCAAAAATGCTCCAAGTACTTTTCAAAGAATGATTGACAACGTACTTCGTGAACACATTAACAAAATTTGTTTAGTTTATTTAGACGATATAATAGTTTTTTCGACCTCTTTACAAGAACATATTACAAATTTAAAAAAGATTTTCCAAACTTTAAGAAATGCAAATTTAAAAGTACAATTAGACAAATCCGAATTCCTTAAGAAAAACGTTGAATTTTTAGGACATATTGTTACCCCTGACGGAATAAAACCAAATCCTGACAAAATTAATGCAATCAAAAAATTTCCAATCCCTAAGACACACAAACAAATAAAATCATTTTTAGGCCTACTAGGATACTACAGAAAATTTATTAAAAATTTTGCCAAAATAACAAAGCCACTTACAAATTGTTTGAAAAAAGACCAAAAAATTGAATTAACACCTGACTACATATCATGTTTCGAACATTGCAAAACCCTGTTATCAAATGAACCCATCCTTGCATACCCTGACTTTGAAAAAGCCTTTGAACTCACAACTGACGCATCAAATTACGCGATAGGCGCAGTGCTTTCGCAAGACGGACACCCGATAGCTTATGCATCAAGAACATTAAACCCTGCTGAGATAAATTACGCGACAATAGAAAAAGAATTACTAGCGATAGTATGGAGTTGCAAATATTTTAGACCTTACATTTACGGAAAGAAATTTACTATTTTTTCGGATCATAAACCTTTAGAATGGCTTTCAAATTTAAAAACACCAAACACTAGACTTATTAGATGGAGATTACATTTAGAAGAATTCGACTACGAAATAAAATATAAACAAGGAAAAACTAATTACGTTGCAGACGCTTTATCTAGAATCAAAATTCAAGACGTACCACAAGAAGTAAATGCCCTGACAAAAGCTAACACAACACCTTTAGAAGACGACCTTATGTCTATGTTAAACAATGTTGACGAAATTCCAGAAGTTGACGAAACTAATTTAAACGANATGAACAAATTCGTGATTTACAAATTAACAATTACAACGGTATTGTCAAAACTATGTTTATAACAAATTTGCCAATAGATGTTCAAACCATAGTCAGAATTAAAAATCCAGATACACTAGAAGAAGCTTTGAGTTATGTTTTAGAAGAAGAAGAATTTCAAAATTTTGCCAAATTACATCAAACAACTAATAGAATAAGTCAACCAAATTTTAAACCGACAATGTCTCAAAATAATAATCCACCACCACGTAGAAATTTTATTCCAAATTTAAATCAAAATATCACTCCACGAAACACAAACAATTTTCCAACTACTTCACAGTTTCCATCACAACCTATTAATATCCAACCTAAACAAGTAAATCAAAAATTCCCCACTAACAAACAAACTTTTGGACCACCAAATCGCACACAAAACGTTTGGAAACCAAATGCAAATTTAAATCAAAATTTTGGAAAACCGACTCCAATGTCTGGAATATCCCATAACAGTCAATTTAAACCACAACCTATGTCTGGCATTAGTTATATGCACAACACGGAAGCTACTGAACATATACCATCATATCACAATGAAGAATATCATAACCAACTGGAATACGATCAAGAAAGATACGAAGACATCACATACAACAACATGTACCAAGAAGATCAACAACAAGAAGAAATATACGAGGAAGATCAAAACAATGAAAATTTTCCCAGCGTCGAGCCGACACAATCCCCGACGTAAACGCTATAAATGCATTACCTTATATTAAAATTAGACTAAAAAACAAAATTTACAAATTCCTTATTGACACCGGCTGTTCATTTTCCATAATTCGCCCAACAATAATCCAAATGAACTACCCCGACAAAATTTATTTAGACCCTACTACTTTACAGACATGTGCAGGTAAAACAAAGGTCCTGAATAAAGCAACGGTACCAGCATTTCGAAATTTCAATCCGACTTTCCAATACATTTCGTTTTACACGACTTTCATAATTATTTTGACGGACTTATAGGACTTGATGATTTAACCAACGCAAGACTAAACATTAATTTATCTGAACAAATACTTGAAAACGATAGAGTTCAAATTCCAATGTACACTCACGAAGACTTTTACACATGCGGTTATGACTTGAATCCACTAGAAATTAGAAAGATCAAAATTCCTGTAATTGTTGAAAACGGACCAGTTTTAATTCCAGAATACAGATCGAACGTTTATTACATACCCGAAACATTATCAACTAGTATAAATTATTTTGCCGAAATTGAAGTTCACAACTTGTCAAATTTACACAGATTAGTTTCATTTACAGAACCACAAAAATCAGAACCTTTTAATGAACATGAATTCGAAATTTTTAATTGTGAAATTACTTACTCTAACCAACCTAACTCTCGCATTGATATAAAAGAAATTATTAGGACAAATCATATGAATGACGAAGAAAAAGAAAACATTATCAATTTATGTTTAGAATATTCAGACATTTTTCAAAATCCAACAGATCAACTACCTTTTACAAATACAATCAAACACGAAATTAAGACTAAAGACGAAAATCCCTGCCATACAAAAACATATCGTTATCCCCACATCTATAAAGAAGAAGTTCAAAATCAACTATCAAAAATGCTAAATGACGGAATAATTCGACCAAGTATTTCCCCATGGAGTTCACCTATTTGGGTTGTACCAAAAAAATTAGACGCTTCAGGCAAAAGAAAATGGCGTATTGTCGTAGACTACCGAAAATTGAATGACAAGACAGTAACTGACAGATATCCTATCCCAAATATCACCGACATACTCGACAAATTAGGCAGAAGTTGTTATTTCACCACTTTAGATCTCGCCTCCGGCTTTCACCAAATTGAAATGGCACCAGAATCAGTTCAAAAAACAGCTTTTAATACGGAACACGGACATTACGAATTTTTAAGAATGCCCTTTGGACTCAAAAATGCTCCAAGTACTTTTCAAAGAATGATTGACAACGTACTTCGTGAACACATTAACAAAATTTGTTTAGTTTATTTAGACGATATAATAGTTTTTTCGACCTCTTTACAAGAACATATTACAAATTTAAAAAAGATTTTCCAAACTTTAAGAAATGCAAATTTAAAAGTACAATTAGACAAATCCGAATTCCTTAAGAAAAACGTTGAATTTTTAGGACATATTGTTACCCCTGACGGAATAAAACCAAATCCTGACAAAATTAATGCAATCAAAAAATTTCCAATCCCTAAGACACACAAACAAATAAAATCATTTTTAGGCCTACTAGGATACTACAGAAAATTTATTAAAAATTTTGCCAAAATAACAAAGCCACTTACAAATTGTTTGAAAAAAGACCAAAAAATTGAATTAACACCTGACTACATATCATGTTTCGAACATTGCAAAACCCTGTTATCAAATGAACCCATCCTTGCATACCCTGACTTTGAAAAAGCCTTTGAACTCACAACTGACGCATCAAATTACGCGATAGGCGCAGTGCTTTCGCAAGACGGACACCCGATAGCTTATGCATCAAGAACATTAAACCCTGCTGAGATAAATTACGCGACAATAGAAAAAGAATTACTAGCGATAGTATGGAGTTGCAAATATTTTAGACCTTACATTTACGGAAAGAAATTTACTATTTTTTCGGATCATAAACCTTTAGAATGGCTTTCAAATTTAAAAACACCAAACACTAGACTTATTAGATGGAGATTACATTTAGAAGAATTCGACTACGAAATAAAATATAAACAAGGAAAAACTAATTACGTTGCAGACGCTTTATCTAGAATCAAAATTCAAGACGTACCACAAGAAGTAAATGCCCTGACAAAAGCTAACACAACACCTTTAGAAGACGACCTTATGTCTATGTTAAACAATGTTGACGAAATTCCAGAAGTTGACGAAACTAATTTAAACGAATTATTAGAAACCATAACAGATCAACCGACTACTTCTCAAAACGAAGACTTTGAAAATTATATTCCACAAACCATTATCAAAACTCAAAAAGAAAATGACGAAACAGCAACAATCCATTCCTCACACGAAAATCCTATACAAGAATTTCCCATCACAGAAAAATGCATTAACCAATACGTAAACCAAATCATTATAACGGAATCAACTAACTCGTTAGCAAATTTTACAATTCATGCATCAATCTTTAATAACACACGACACAAAATTACTTTTAAATCCAATTCAACTGAAGAAGAAATTATAAAAATGTTCAAAAATACAATTGATCCCAAAAGACACTATTGTATGTTCTTTCGTACTAACAAAGATAATCTACTAAAACTTCGAATAATTAGAACTTTACAAAACAATTTCACTAAATTAAATTTAACCATATCAAATTTGTTTGTAACTGACGTAACTAATGAAGACGAACAACACCAGAAAATTAAATACCATCATGAAGGAAAAACCCAACATAAAGGAATTAACGCCACTTTATCATCACTAACAAAAAATTACTATTGGCCTTACATGCTAAGAGACGTACAAAATTACATTAACACATGCACCACTTGTCAAACATGCAAATATGAACGCAAACCTCAAAATCCACCTTTCGAAATTACACACACCCCATCTAAGCCTTTAGAAATAATTCACATCGATTTATTCTTCATAAATAATAATACCTTCTTAACATTCTTAGACCCTTTTTAAAAATTTGCTCAAGCTATACCAGTCACACAAAAATCGGCAATCGAAGTAATGGAAGCCCTTATAACATTTATATCATTCGTAGGAATCCCAAAAGAAATCATTTGTGACAACGGAAAAGAATTTAGGAATAACATAATTTCAGACTTTTGTAACCTTCACAAAATAAAATTACATTACATTATCTTACATAATTCAACTTCAAATTCGCCGGTAGAACGATTACACTCAACACTTTTAGACCAAATTCGATGTTTAACACGCGAAAATCCGCACGAAAACGTTAAATCTTTAATGAAACTAGCTATAATGGGATATAATAATACACCCCATAGCAATACTAAATACACCCCTTTTGAAATCCTATTCGGACATCTTAAACAAATGTTACTTTTTGACATAAACGAAGAAAACATAATAACCGACTATGTGGAAAACCATGCCAAAAATTCTCAACAACTTTACGAAAACATTCAAAACAAAATTTCAACCGAAAAAGAAAAACGTACAGAAAACTTAAACAAAAAACGCGTTGATCCAGAAAACTTAAATCAAGACGATACGATCTTTATCAAAAATTACCAAATTAGAAACAAAACTAATCCGAGATTTATTGAAACCAAAGTCGAGTCGGACTTAGATAAAAAAGTAAAAAGAAAACGTGGCACTTATCATAAAAAGAGAGTTAAAAAGAAACGTAAAACTGTTTCAGGTAGACCACGAGGACGACCAAGAAAAAATAATAACAATGACGACGTACTTGATACTCATCCTATTTCTTACCTTTTCGAAAGTCCTAGCTCAAATTAAAGTAACCCCAATTGAAAACGGTATACTAACATTAAAATTAGGAACTATGAGATCTCAATCATCCATTCACAAATTTATTCATTATGTAAACCTACAAACAATTCGAGATGAACTAAAAACCACTTCTTCTCAATTATTATTACTCAATAAAAGAGCCCATCAAACTGAAGTAAATACTGGATTACTAACAATTGTCACACAAGCAGCACAATTAGTAGACAATACAAAACAAAAATTAAAAAATCTGACGCCTCATAAGAATTCGCGTACAAAACGAGGACTAATAAACGGAATTGGCACCGCATTTAAATGGCTTTTCGGAACTTTAGATAACGATGACCGAAAGAAAATCAATCAAGCAATTGACAAGTTAAATAAAAACAATAATCATATAGAGTATCAATTAAAGACTCAGGTTAGCTTAACATCCAAACTAATAAATGAATACAACAAGACAATTACAACATTAGCACAGAATCAAAATGCTATCCAAAATTATTTAATGCAAACGTTCGCAGAAGTTAATGATCAAATTAATTATGTAGTTGCTACACTAACTATTCAAAACGTGCTTACTCAACTATTTGTAAATCTAAATTACATTAACGAATTTTTAGATGAACTAGAAAATGTCATTGTCTTTGCATCATGGAATCTTGTGCATAATTCAATTTTACCAAAAAATAATCTAATGCACATACAAAAACAACAACAAAAGAACTTTATAGCAGTCAAAATATCCTAGAGCTCAATCATTTCCAAAATTACTATTCATATTTAGGCACTTCAGTACATTTTAATGACGAATTAATTATTTTTGTAATCAGTATGCCAATCTTAACAGTATACATTTATTCCTACTACCATTTGATCCCTGTTCCTATACAAAATCTCACAATTATTCCAACCACTCCTTACCTTGCAATGAGTACCGAATCATACATCACGACCATCCAGGCATGTTCAAAAATCGAGGATGTTTACATCCACAACCAGTCAACCTAAGGACGATAGCTGCCCAGTCCAACTATTGTCCAACGCTAACCACGAGAACTGTCAAGTTCACCATGTCGCAATGACCAAACTCGTAGCGACATTGTTAGAGGAAAACCATGTGCTAGTCATCCCTGTTGGCACTATCCAAATTCAAAATTGTCAGAAAGGAATCTTAACAATTAATCAACCGTCAGTCCTGCGACTAACCACAGGCTGTAGTATAATC